GCTGAAATAGGATTGACCACCACTCTTAAAGAGAAACCTGATATGTGTCTAATGTAGAAAATATTCTTTCTTCTAACAATGAAATTTCAGTAGCAAAAAATGAATTCAATGAAGTGCATTAAATGGTTCTTTGTTTTCACTCATGCTTAATTAATTTCACTCTTATCGCGTTTCCAAGTATATCTATAATAGCACCATTGTTCTAGATTTGAGAAGGCAGTCTAAATTTATCTTTACAATCAATCATGTAGATTCTCAATTAGAGCTCCTCAACTCAGTTAAAGCAACATTGAGTTTGTGGATTTTACACTGTTTATTATTTCTCAGTTTTTGTACTTCAATCGCGTGCGAGCATCGACGTACTTACGTTTCACTACGTCACATATATTTTTCTTGTTTGCACACTTGTTTTGTTCGATAACAATTAGTTTTTTTTGGCAGCCATGATGTTTCAGCGAGTTAAACAAAAAGAATACTGCAATTCTTATTGGATATTAAGTTACTTATATATCTAAAATGTTACAATTCGACGAATAGCTCGTACAGACGAAACATTGGTGTGAAAGTATAACTTTCATCCAGTTTCACTATTCTTCTTTTCTTTCTTCGTTTTATTAGTTTTTGATTATTTATCCTCTTGAAACGTTTTCGTATCGGGGAACAATTTTGTTTTATGAAACTGGTTACATGTAATTTCCTATTTAGGATTTACTAACATTAAACAGTACTTCAATCTTCGTTTCCTTAAATGTTTAGTAGCATATTAAGTATAAAAATTCATAATTTGAAAGGTTGCATACTAAAAATTTCGACTTCTACGAGCATACTTATTTTCAATGGATAAAACTACTGAACGTTATAAATGCAAAATGTCGAACAATTAATTAATGCAATATTATTTATTCTTTACCCTATTTGGTATTTCGTCAGTAGTTTTTAAATTTTCTACGGTTCGTGAGTCCATTTCGAAGTTGACTCATTTCGATCTGAGTATACAACGATTATCGTTAAAAATCATGCGGACTAGTAACGATTTAAGCGAATGATTCAGAGCAAGCTCGAAGTAAAGGGATCGATTTGGTTGTGGATATCGTCGATTTCATCTTATGTTCGTCGAACCAGTCTTTTGCGACACGCTCAAAAATCCATTAGTGGAATTTTTACCTGCTAAAAACTGTAATATTGTACGTTTATACCATTAAAGATTTTTAATACATTTTAATGAAATATTTTAACAAATGCTAAGTATATATTAAATTTTCCTTACTTAATTCTTAGCATAATTTTATTTTAATGGAGGAAGTATTAGAACACAAAATAAATATTAAATTATTACAATATGAAAGACTTACCTGTACTCTACAGGCGTTTAGAGATTATTGAGCCCTACATATTGTGGACTAGGGTGGTAGAACGTCTAATTTTAATCCGTTCTTCGGCTTACAAGAGCCACAATAGCCTCCACATTTCCCGGTGACATGTTGATTGCTCTAAAATTATAACCATAATTATATATAAATAACAAAAATATGTATACTTTATCAGTATCCATATTCCTAAGCTTGCTGATGTAAGTTCATTGTCATTCAAGCAAGACAAATAATATTTTATAATTTAAAAACTCATTAAGCTTACAATATTATTGATTTTTATCGACGATCCACGTGTTGCTGTCCAAACAACATTCGCCGATAATCTTAATTGAGTTCCGCTTAAGTTAATACTAAAACGACCCTGAGGACAGTGTGCAACGCTATTACAATCACCAGCCGTACCATATTCGACACGGTTTGAGCCTGTCATCCGTGAAAATGTGTAATCATTCTCTGAAAAATACAATATTTGTTTGAAGTTCCTTCTTTGAAATACTATTACAAATATGAATGTTTACAACATCATACCTATGATATACAGTTCTACTGGATCGACTCGTACCCTTCTGAACGTTGTCTTTCCGGAAGTGGTGCAACTGCAATTGTTGTTCCTTGGGCCATTAAACGGACAAATGTAAGGGCTATTGAAACTGAAATAAATTGTTATTATTACATAATATTAAATAAAATATTAAATAATATATATAAATATAATATAATAAATATAAAATATAACAAATATAAATAATATTGGTTGAATTAATAATAATAAAAATGATTAAACAAAAGGTATAAGAATATAGAACATCGTAAAAGTATTTTATAATAAACGATAAAATAAATTTCTATTATTTATTCTGTTAATAGTGATAGCACAATGATTTTAATTTTCCCTTGTACTAACGTCTTATCATATACTTCTGCATAATTTTCCTGAGGACCAGCTGGCAATGTCAAATACTCCTTCGGCTCGGATGTTGACATGCCGTGACAGTAAATTGACATGTTTCTTCCACCGAAGACCAAAGTGTACTCGCCGTCCTTGATGGTTTTAAAATATTTCTTCGCCTCGTAACAGGACATTGCATAACATTTTCTTTGGTTGCATTTTCGCTTCCGTTGCGGTTTGAACCGTTTATGACAATTGACACGGGCTACTTTCTTGTCGTTTCTGTCCAGGCAGAATAATCTTCGTGTCTCACGACCCTTAGGGCCACAAGTATGACTGCACTGTAATTTAAATTTTTCTTAGTTATTTAATTCTTCCTTGACACTTAATATTAACACATTTTAGGAATACTTAAGTTTACTATCCTAAGCTAGTTATGATAATATACCGGGCATTTTCATAGTATTTTCATAAGAATTAATATGAGTATTTTTACAAGAGAAAAATATTTTATTCATTTCCTTAAGTCAAACTTACTTTCTTCCACGGACCAGCAAACCAATAATACTTATCATCGCATTCTTGCAATTTACAAAACTGTTGAGTTTCTGGTTTTTGATCCATGGGACAATTATCAGTGGGAGTTGGATCGAGTAGTCCATAACGATTGGTTCGGTGGCAGGTAACTGATCGTCGTTGAATTCCTTCACCACATTCTGCTGAACACTTGAAGCAAATCAATTGACATTAGTACAAAAAGTAATAAGAAACAGTGGACTTTACTTACAATCTTGTTTACCCTCTATTTATTTCATTCTTTTTATTTATTCCAATTTTAAAATCCCCAAATCTGGTTGCAAACATTCATTAATTTGATATACAGAGTGTCAAAAAATAAAGGTATAAAATTTCAGAAGCTTATAGTACTATCCTGAGATGATGAAAAATGCTTAGGTTCAAAGGTAAATCTAAAATCAATTTTTTTCCAAATAAAGTGTAATCTTTTACATTATTTTATAGAAATAATTAGAATTTACGTTGAGCAAACATTTTTTTAATCCTCTTGCTAGGTACAATGAGCCCTTGAAGTTTTAGACTTTTATTTTTAACACTCTGTATAAACAAAGATGATGAAAAATATGAGAACTAATTTTCCCTGAAATAAATGAAATTGCAAACGTTTCAATGGAAAGAATCATTTCGCAATCTGCATACTATCATGAGTCACTTGAAAATAAATAAATGCGTTTAATTAAGATACAACAGATAAACGTTGTTACAGGATGAAGTCCCATGAGTGCTTTAGGAAAGTACATTGACGTAAAAATAAAACAATGACACCAATATTTCGTGTCATGTACATCAATGATTTCCACATGCTGCATCATCAAAAATTATATTTCGAGAAAAAATCATACAGGTCACATGCTCGTTCGAACGATCAAATGTGCAAGTGTGAATCAATAGTGGCATTATCACAAAGCTTTTAGTGTTAATAGGGTGAATTATTACAATATTATGATTTCTTTGAACACACTTCTCTGTGCTAATTAGCAATCTTGGAATTTCTCAGTATTTATCATAGATGAATACGATAAAGAATATACATTTTTTCTTTTTTTACAAAACCTCTTTAGGTAAAGTATTACAACGAAAAGAGACGTTTGAGGATCGTGGAGATTGTTAGACATATGTTAAAAGTAACATGGACTTAGAGTTATCGTGTCTGTCGAATTAATATCTTTATGATACTGGGCACATACAAGACCTATTTTGACCAATGTTAGCATTGAATAGCGTCAATAAAACGTTGATATGATTGATTCTGTGCAAACTCGAAATTTACTTCTAGATTTACTCTGCGATAATCGCTGATTTTTGATTCTCTATCAAAACAAGATTACGAAGATTGGTTAAAGATTAGTGAAGATGTCCCTCAAACCACACAATGGAATACGACTTCCCACATGAATATCTTTCTCCAGGCAATTTCCATGTCGAGCAGACGATATCGAGCTTACGGATGTTATAACTGATAAGTATAGAGGTTTCTGATGTCCCTGTTATATTTCTTCTCTTAAATTAGTCTAGAAGAATTCTTCTGCTTTTAAATCCGTGGACATCGACCACTGATTAGGCAAACTGTAATAATAATTTTCAATTCACTTTACATATTTCACTTAAGTCCTAAGAGTTCTAATACATACCAAATTTTGCAAGAACGTTTATTCTTTAACAAAGTTTTATTAGCTAAGCTGTAAACTTTGTATTAAAAATTTTCTCCCATAAAGTTAGGGAATACAAATTCGTAACGTTCTTAGAATATTTATTTGAAAAAGAATTTTATTCCTTTAAATACTCTTGCTTATTTTATTACAGCAAATTTCCTTTTTCAATTTTGATTCTTTCATTTGACAAATCCATCGGTAAGCTCGATCGAATGAATCCAACCAAGACAAAAATCGAGAGTGGAAACTGGATCGAAATGAACAAGAGGCAGGCAATGGCATAAAACATGATCGATAAATCGTAGATCATAGCGGCGAGGTACGAAGATACCTCAGACCAAGGTCCTTCCTGCCAAATAAAGTTGCAGGCAACGCGTCGGCAGGGCCTCTGCGATTTCGGTTTTCTCAGGCCAAGCCTCGAGCACTGCTCATCTCTTACGGTCACTTCCGGCCCGTGGTTTCCTCTCCTTATGGTGCATTCCACCCTTCGTCTCTGAAGTCCAGTACCGCACGATTTCGAACACTGCAAAATATTTTTGTTCGATCCAAACTGCGATGGTAACGTCTCAACTCCCGTTGACTCTTGACCCTTACATTTCCACTTTATTCAACAACGCTGACGCTTTGTATTCTAATCAAGACTTATTTGTAAGAATAATCGAATGGAGAGAAATGTTGAACAGATTCAGATTATAGCAAAGTTGCAAAGGAATCGTGAAAAGAGTATTTCGAATCATTATTTAATTTATTCTATTTGTATGGTGGACATGATGACTGTTTATTGGTCACACGTTGTCTATTTATTAAGAATTATTGTTCGTTGTTATTTGGTAGATGTAGAAATTGGTTGCTTTCTGGAGTATGTTAAAAATTATATTAACAAAATTAATTGATATTAAAAGTGTGTTGTTTTTATTGACTTTAATATCTTTGACTTAGCAATATCGTATTAGCGATTTGCATGCTATATAATGCAAATTGTGAAGAGCTTAAACAACAGTGAAATTGAAAATACACAACACTGGTAAAAGATTCAACGATAAATTACTTTACCTTCATCGGTATTGTTATACATAATTAATTGATTTCTATAATAAACGTGGAATAAATATTTGAATTTATAATTCTACCATTTGCAGCCATTAAAAAAAATTGTTATGTTCGTTGCAAAGAACAAAAATCAATGACAAATAATAGAAAAATTATAAATAAAAGATTGTAGAACTATGTATCTTTTTCCGTCAAGGATTTTTAATTGCTGACGATAACAATGCTAGAGTTTTAATATTGAATAATTTATTACGATTAATTTGCTTAAATGTAGAAACGAAGCGACATCGAAAAATATACGATAAAGAAAGATAATACTTACGGTAGTCCAGCTGGAAGTTTTCCATTTGCGGAGAATGTTCATTTTTGATGGATTCCTTTGATCCGTAGAGGTATTGATACAAGGCCTCTTTCGGCAGGTCTTCATTATTTCCGGTTTTTCACTGTCATGGCAGTCCTCGTCTGGCAAAATTTCACCGTGCGGACTCTGACAACGTACTTGTCGATATTGGTTCCCCAATCCACATTCTACGTTGCACTATGTTCATAAATTAATAAATTAATCGAACTCATGCATATAGCTTGTATATAATGCTTACTATTCTATGAGTTATAATTAGATGTATTCATTATCTTCAATATCATTTTCTATATAATTTAATCGTTAATTTACACAATTTCGTTAATTCCTAGCAAAGATAAGTATTTTTAAGTGATTAATATAGTATGTATTACTATTGACTGTATTACTAATTGACTAACCTGGCCCCAATCACTAGTACTCCACATTGGACAATGATAACGATTGCAAGGAATTTCAGTAGGTGGTTTCTTTTCGTTGTCACAATAACTATCAGGTGCAATGGTTGCAGTTTCAATGGAAACACATTTTACCCCTGTATTCATATAACCTTTGATGCACGGCTTAGAGCACTGTAATGCGAATAATACATAACTTTATTATATATTTCTAGATAATTAATAAGATAGAGTTGGCAATTACAAAATTCAATACAATATTATAATTATGTAAATACAAACCTCTTTCGTCTGAACATGCCATTTATATCCATAACGGAAAATTATATCATGAATTTCGTTGTCTTGCTGAGAAGGAATCTCATATGGTGGGTCAGAGGAATACTTGATTGGTGTTACACTGACCTGTTAAAAACGTAATTTCGTAAATTAAAATAACTAATGATAAAGAAGAATAAAAATACTGAAGTAAAAGGATTACCACTGTTGGACAAGGTTTCAGTATACAGATTGTAACATCTTCTGGTTTGTTAGAGGAAGAACATTTACTGCTAATCATTCCATCAGCGCTCTTGCAGATAACTTTCCTTCGTTTCATGCCTTCGCCACAAGTAACTGAACACTGTAGACAAAGAAAAGTTTCACATAGTTAATATACTTCACACGTACAATTGTCAGTGATAATTTTATTACATACTGGGCCCCAATCACCGGCATGCCATTGCTCGCAAGGTCCAGGGTTGCAAACTTCAACAATTTCTGGAGGAGTATCACCACAGTAACTGTTTGAAACAATACGGTTCTCTATATGACACACAAAATGTCCGTGTCGCTTGCCAATACCACACGTTACCGAGCACTATTATAAAAAAGAAAAATAAATTAGTTGCAAAGTTGTGATTAGTTAACTTTATGTGGCAGGAAAAGCCAAATTAATTCAGGCAAATAATTACACGACTCCAGTTCTTCAACGTCCACTTAGGACACGCGTCTTGTCCACATGGTCTTTCTAAATCTTTCTTTTGTCCCATACAATTCTCCTCAGAAACTGGTCTTCGGTTGGAGTCTACGCAGATAGCTGTTCTATATTGAACTCCACCTCCGCACGTAACATTACAAGCACTCCATTTCCCGTAACTCCAGTGGGCATCCTCACAGGGTCCCATACAAGGTTCTGTATCGTTTGGTCGTTGCAGATGAGCGCACGATTGCGCTGGAATCGCACGGGGTGGATGATTCGAGTTCAACAACCTTTGCAGACACTTAGAGGTCACCATACGAGTTCCTAGACCGCAGTGGTTGGAGCATTCGGAAACCGTGATGTTCCATCTGAAATATGATACATAATCACGTGAAAATATATTCCTTTTACTCAGAGAGGTGTTAGTATCAGTTAAACGTAATAGATTGAATATGTTAATCAATGTAAGTATTGAATATATAGCGTATTCGTTTTTCTCTAAATCTATGACAATATTTGACAGTAATGGTTTATAAGTTATTAATTAGTTTTAAGGGAAATTTTAGGTAACGTATACTCACTCTAAGATACAATGATTGTTGCACATTTGGCTTTCTTCCCATGGCTTTTCCGTTTCTCGACAGTAGTCATCGGCGACGATCTCGTTGTACTCCATGCTTGTACATTCAGCTTTACGGTACTTCATACCTTGACACGTGAGACTGCAATCCGACCAGTCGCTTATCTTCCATGTGTAGCTTTCTAGAATCTTTCTTGGCACCGTGTATTCGTAAGTAATTTGGGGCGGATTCAACTCCCTTACTGATAAAACCTAAAAGATCAGATTTGTTAATTAGGTGTCTCGTTATGTTTAGCAGAGTATCGAAAATCCAGTAATTGTAGAAAAGTTAAATTGGTCATACTTACTTCTAGAATTAAGTCTGTTTGGATTGGTCTGGAGGTGTTCAGACGTTCCACGACTGATTCAGACCCACTGTACTCGATGGTGATGCCAGTATCCACAATCACCCTTTTGGTCATCACCACAAAGTTCCCGTTTAGTATGTATTTCCCATCCTCTCCAAGTCGTAAAGCTACAGGAAACGTATGTACAGTTTTCAATCATTTGAAGGCCTTAGGTATGAACAATGAACAATAAAACACAGCCATACTTTAAAACCAAACTTTTCTCTCACACATACCTTATATACACATATTTCTTTTCAATTTAACATTTTGATAACACTTTTTACATTCACTCAACTATATTTAATATGTTATAAAACAGTCTCAAAAAATGCCTAACTTTGCTAAGGAATTTCTAAAAGCTCCCTCGAAATAGGTGGTAGAGGTTTTATACGACTTTTGCAACGTGTCAGGTATCACGTTCATTCAGAGCTGAGCAAAGTAAGAATTAAGTACCGAGGTAATTGCTGTCGCCTTTCATGTCCTTCCAACCGTGTTGCCTGATGTCGATGTTGTTGCTACCCGCTGGGATCTTAGCGACTCTGGTATAGCCGTACTCCGTGGAGTTGTAGGAACCCGTAATCCACTGGCAGGTGGAATTGTCGCCCCTGCAGACGCCGCAGATATCGAGTTCCGCCGTCGAGTTTAAAACGTGATCGCATCCCGCTGGTTTACACTGGCCGTTCACGCATATGTGAAAGGTATCCCGGCCGCATGGTGTTCCGTCGATCACCTTGTCCGCCAGCAAGTAATACTGATTGCTTTCCACTTGGCAGTACAATTTACAGCGGTCCTGGGGCAATACTGAAGCAGGAAGAAGGGGCAGAATTGTAACTCGAGGACGATGACGATAAACCAACATTTCAAGTCTGGTTCCCTGGACCAGGGTTATTATACTCACTTCGCGAATACTTGGCGTGCCATTTAACGTCCTCAGCCAGGTTTGGTATTTTTAAGTTGTCATTGTCGTACTGCGAACACTGTTGTTCCCTGCAAAACAAAGTGTCGATTAAAATATAGCGAATACAGGAATAAAGTACGCTAATAAAAGTTAAAGGATCGTTCTTAATATCTCGTTTAATTGTTCGTTGAGATAATCGAATAGCGAGTCCGTCAGACAATGGAATAGTACCGCGTTAGATCCCATCATAAATTTCAACAGATCACGCATTCATTTCTGAAGATTAAATTTATGGTAGGTTTACAAAATTATAATTCCTTATCTTCCCTCCGTCTTTAGCCTTATATTCAAAATTAAAATACAGCACTTAGCAGGAACAAACGAAAGCCATTCAATAGACCAATTTCAATCCGAGGATACCTGAAGTCAATGCTTCCTGGTGGGCAGTCCCTGGTACCGCAGCTGCGATATTTGACTCGGTCACCGATACAGTAATGGCCACCGTTCTGTGGGGGTGGACTATTGCATTCACGGTACTTCTTCTTGATACCACCGCCGCAGGTCCTCGAACATTTGCCATAACGTCCCCATTCGCCCCATTGGCCGTCCACAGGCTCCAGGTTTCTGCGCGAGACGCATTCGCCTCGATGACACCATTTGTTTCGGCCGCAGGAGGTTCCGTCAGCCCACGGCATGTGCTGGGTACGACACTGATCGTAATGATCCCCGTTCGGTGTGGTGCACCACAGTCTCCTGCACACTGCCTGGCCGATAACCAACCAACCGCTCAGTTTATCTCAATTCTTAAGCAGTGAGTTCGCTGCGTACTGTTCACGATGCTCGAAACGATTAGGCTAGGATAGGTCAATGATACTGAGATTTCGCTCGTTTTAATAGGTTTCTGAGGGTTTTGCTGCAGGACATTGCGAAGGATCGGTGAAGCAGGTGGTTGACACAGAAGAACTATGAAAAGAATATTCGTTGGTTAGTAAGTAGACGTTCTATGTGCATTTGATTGTTTGGCAATGACGTAGTAATAAAGCGTGTTGAAGAAAATAATTTTATATTACTATGGTTAATATTGGCTTGTGGTTGTAGGGTTTTTAGAGAAAGCTGTATTGAAATATGCAGATTATATTCTTGGAATTAAACTAAATTCGAAATTTGTGTTGGAGGATTAATCGAGAAGGAATAAGTTCCTGTTCGCATTGTGCATGATCAAATATAGAAGTAATTCAGCTAGGTAACATGTATGATTGGTTCGAATTATTTATCGAGTGCCAAAGTTCCGACTTTTGAAACAGCAATTTAAGACATTTTAAAGAAATAAAGAGCTTGAGAATCAATTGATATGTGCAATAATTTATTCATTAACAAATAACAGGCACTGATTATCCAATGTACATACAAGAATTATGTATAACACAGTAATACAGGTTAATTAAAGACATTAATAACAATTAATAGAAACATTAACAAATAATCTGACTGTATTGAGTGTGAGAAAAAGTACGGTTTAATATATATACCAAATACGGTATAGATAAACCAAGTCAATCTTTTCAATCAACAATCTTCTTGCATCTTATTCCTACCTACTTAATACCTGCAGTTACACTCTGCAAATGTGCTAAGTGTCCACATCAACGATACTATTTCAACATCAATCTTGACCCTCATTAAACACAATAATTTACAAGCTCGCTATATCATTCGAACCAACAATACACGTCCTCCATGACTGCACCGCCCAAGCTTCCATGCCCTAAATGGTTAATTACTCCATCATTAGTCAGCAGTAACATCACGAGTAACATGTACACGTACAAAAATGTGTGACTTACCATCACTCACCATGTGAGCACAGATCCTGGATCCGTTGCCGAACACCAGCTCGCACTGCTTGTTCACCGAGTAATCCTCGCCTGGTAACCTGCTAGGGTCCGTACGCTCCATTATCTTATCCGGCGTGTCCAGCAAGCAGTTCCCGTTTCCTGCCCTGAAACACGTAATTTTGCGAACAGCTTGAACGTCTCGTCCAGGTGCTCGTGAATCATCCTTCGACCGAATTTTTGTCGGAAACGGACGGGATCCGGCGGTGTTGTGCGCGGCGGTCATTCAGAAATGCAGCGGAACCGGATTCCTAAGCGAGGAGTCGTCTTCTTCGGCCGTTGCAGAAAAACTCGCGCCACCGGCTCCCGGCCCGATCGAATCGAATTTAGAATTGTTTCCAACGGGAGCACCGATTCGCAATTCGGTCTTTGATTCGATGCCGGGCTCGACGCGAAAATATTTAAAATACCAACACGCGGTTTCCTGCTCGTCCGAATAGAAAACAGACTCCTTTCTATCACTGAAACTCGGCTCCGACTTAAACAAACACTAGGTGGTACTAGGGTCAATGATCAAGGCTTTGGCAGAGTTGCGAATGGCTACAACGTCGGCGAGGCTGTACATATTGGCGAAAATATTTGGATTGCTCCTTTTAATCGTGGCTGACTTTGACATTTGCATTGTTGAGCGATTTCAAGTGATTTTATAAGGTTCAATGCAATTTTCTTAGGTTTAACGCGGTTTTACATAGTTTGGTGCGATGTTGGCTGAATATGTTTGAGTCTTACAAGATTTTTGATGATGTTAGACGATGACGAAAATAGTTGGATAGGTTCTTTTGATTGTGATTGATTTTAGTTGCATTCTTGCGTGATTTTGTCTGATCTCAAGGGTCTCGACATGGGTTTTCCTAAGTTTTATATGGTTTACATGGTTATGTGGGACACTTGGTAATTATATTTGAGTTTCATAAGGTCTTAGGAGGTTTTAGGTACTGGTGAAAATATTCGGATAGATTCTTTTGACTATGATCAAGTTTGGTTGCCTTCCTATGCGATTCTGTGTAGATTTCTGCGACATTTCAGACAGTTTCGTGCGATTTTACACGGTTTGACACGGTCTTTTCACGATTTTACGTAGTCCTACGCGGTCTCACGTAACTTTATGTGATCATACGTGTGTTTTGCAAGGTTTCACGAGGTTTCACGACATTTCACGCACTGTTACGCGGTTCTGTGCGATGTTACATGGTTGTGATTTACATGACTTCGAGTGATTTTACATGGTTACACGAGGGTTTTTCACGGTTGGCGCGTGGCCGGCGTAAATTTACACGGGCTCGAAGCGTTTCGAAGATCGCGCGATTTTGCAGCAAGCGGCGCGTTTGGTTTCGATACGGCTTTAAAAGAAACCGTGTCAAATTTCTTCAGTCGAATTCTTTTGTACGAGGGAGTAGAAAACTTTTTCTTCCTCGAGACATGCACAATCATTGGTATCTTGATGAAGAAAAAGCAAATCCTAACGAGGCTAACGAAGTCTGAGATGTATTCAAGGGCCAATCTGTCAGCGTGACACTTTTTCGGATGGCTTTGTGGTCTGTCAAGGTAATGACTGACTCACTCGAGGAACTCGGTGACGTAGTGGCGGGAGCATTTCGACCATTCCCAGGGGAAGGTGTTGTTGTCCAGCATCCTCGACATGATGTTGTACACGCCGGAACGATTTCTGTAGGCTGCACATTTCGTGTCGTCGTCGTGGGGCATGTTCAGCCTAAAATTCATATGAGATGTTAATATAATAATATTACCCCGTACAAACTTTCACATATTCTATTTTCTTTTAAATTAACCCTTTGCACTGGAGAGGTGAATTTCAGTCACCATTTCATAAAATTTGGAAGATCGACATTAATTAATATATCAAATTTAACGTAATGTAACAGTGTGCGAAGTATCGAAGTCATATAATTCTACAATTCTATCATTATACAATTCTTTATTTACTGCTCAAAAGGTATCGTCAGCTTTTTAGTAGAGAATCTTTGAATTTCTATTCTTCTCTAGCCAAAAAATCGTCGAGTGCAAAGGGTTAACACACCATACTTCGAAAATTTCCATTCCGTTGATTCAAAATATATGAATGCGAATGTAAATACCAGTGATGATTTTAATTGGCAATTTAATGAAAATTGTGATGGAAAATTTTTGTCAATGCTTTGTCATGAATAATTATTGGTAACCTTAACAGAAATTTTTTAGTTTTATATCGTCTATTCTCCTTTTTGATATATGATTATGCAAATTAAGGTCTTGGAAATGAAGATTATTATGGAAAAGCGGAGATTATGGTGTAATTGTCAGAATAATCGAATAGTTTCATGTTTCTGGTGGTTTACATAATTTTACTCACACATGACCAATTTCATGAGCGATGGTGAAGGCAGCAGCTAGACCATTGTCTTGAACTATGGCACAAGAGAACCCCGGCGAACACATTCGTCCCAACTCAGCCAGGCCCAAAGTATCGCACCTCCATTCGCCGGATTTGTGGCACAGATTTTCCCTGTAACCGTTTTATTTCGGATTATCAACATCTTAGAAATAACGAGGTCAAGTTCTAGATTCTCGATTCTCGACAGACTATCTTCTCCAAATTTTTCATTACAAAATGAGGTTGCTTATAAACAAAATATAAACTATATAAATTATAGGAAACTGCATAATCGCCATATTTCACGTACGATAGTTTCTCGAATCTCGATATTTCAAGTCTATTAAAAATAAAATTAATAACACGAGGTTTCATCAAAATTTTCTTCCACCACTATCAAATTCCTCATATTCAAAACAAATTCAGCAAATCTCTGATAATTTTTTGAACAAGGTAGAAAGGAAAATAAGATATGTCTTAAAATACTGGATTAATAATTAATAATAATTTGTAATTTATAAAATGGCCGTAGAATAACACAGACGATAACTCTAACTGTAAGATACACACCAGATATTCATAGTCCATCCTCAGATTCCTGACGAAGTAAGCTAATGAAACGTCACAAGATTTCTTAGGTGAATTTATACGGATAAATCTCGAGACGAGTTTAAAGGAAGGTACAAGTGGTACGTACCTGGTTAAAAGCAGTGCAGTGTCGTAATGTCCAGGTGAGGATTCGTTGGAATTGTTGATCTGCTGCCACTGACAGAATTTCTTCAACATATCGTCTGCTGAAATCCCTTCCTCGCCTGTTAAGGTTCGTTTAAGTCCGAATATCGTGTCGATTGGCACGATATTCGTCACCGAGATGCTTATGGGATTGCCTATCGACTGATCTTTATAGATTCGGGAGACCTGTAAAAGAAGAGACTCTCTGATATTTATTTATTTATCGGTGTTTTACTTGAGATATTTGATAAAATTTAATAGATAATTAACTTCGTTATTGTTAAATAAATATTACCCAGGTTAAACAGATCAATGTATATTTCAGTCGTTCATTTGCCAGATCGATTATCTCCAAAAATATAGAAATTTATTTTAGATTAGGGAATTAGATGCATGAATATCGGTTGGCAGTAAAATGAATTTATTGCATTTATTATAATAATTGTTAATACTCAATATTTTTGCATTTATGAATCTTGGTTCCTAAGAATATTGGACCATAAGTATCTATATGTTCAATAGATGCAGTTATACTTATTCTTATTTATTTATTTATTGGTATTTTTATTTGAGAAATTTGATAAAGTTTAATAGATAATTGATTTCGTTATTGTTAAATAAATATTACCCAGGTTGAACAGATAGATGTCGATGTATTATATATTTCAGTTGCTCATTTACCAGATTGATTATCTCCAAAAATATAGAAATTTATTTTAAATTAAGAATTTTGGCAGTAAAATAAATTTATTGTATTTATTATAATAATAGTTAATACTTAATATTTTTGCATTCATGAATCTTGGTTCCTAGGAATATTAGACCATAAATATCTATGTGTTCAATAGATACAATAGATACAATATAATAATTTATCTCCATTTAAATTCCATTATAGGAAATTTCTTCATTGAAAATGATTATTTATAACTTTAGATTTTTATGATATACAGTAGAGAATGTGAAGATACATTTTATTATTATTATTATTATTTTATTCATTAACGGACCGTAGTCCATTTACACAAAATTTCGCATATAAAAGAAAAGCAAACAAATTATACATAATATAACACCGAAGGGACGTGCTTATAAACGTATAAAATTTCGCATATAAAAGAAGAGCAAACAAATTATACATAATATAACACCGAAGGGACGTGCTTATAAACGTTTTGTTCAGAAGGAATAGTTTTATTCAATAAACATTCATAATTGTCTTTTGAAAGTTTGTAAGGACCCATAAGAAAAAGAAAATTTTATAGTCCTTGGTTAAAATAATTTCATAAATTTTCAATTAATTTACGTTCTACAGATTGAATTAATATTCTGTTACGTCTCTGATTCTATTTGGGTATTTGAAAAGTTGAAGTTTCTCTTTTAAAAAAATTCTGCGTGTTTCTCTTCGGTTAATCTACCCGTTGGAGGCATGTCATCGTCGAGGAGAAAGAAATCGACGGATATGCAATCGTATACGATAATTAAGCGAAAAAGGGGTAAAAGTAGCGAGCCTTTTGAATACGAGCTTCGAGAGGTTTCTAATTTATGTTCTCGTTATGATAGCGTTCGATGATTAGTCTATCAAGACCCTATCATGCAAATCCTCGTTCCTGGTCGCTTCTTTCTCATTTCTAAACGCGATAACAGCTTATAAATAACTGGCCGAGAAGCTGTCGTTTAACTAATAATAAATCAATGTAATCGTACAGGGAAGTTCTCAAACTACTTTCGAGTTATTCGAGTTATCCAGACGTCTGAAATGGATACCTTCTCTTTCCAATACGTGCGGTTAATTACAAGCTGAAAGTACGAAAGGTGTACGTTGCTTAATTTCTATTTAATATCGGACTTTTCTAAAGGCTCCCCGAGTTTCACCAGTGTTCAGAAATTTTGTTGTGAAATCGATCAGGCTATTTTTGATTATCGTAGATCAAATGAAAATTTAATTCGGCGAAAATTGCTTGTATTATTAATATCCAGATTATTGGAAGATTAGATGCTTTATTCGAATTTCCTTAAAATATTTTTAATAAATATACGACAGAATAGCGTGGTAAATGTTTCAAAATATTAGACAGATTTATCCCAAAAGATGAAATTAATAAAAAGTAACGATTTCTTTATCACTAGAGAACTAAAATTCCTACAATTTTAGGTCTTCCTGTAAGATTTCTAAAATGAAAGAATGGTATGATAAATGTTAAAAAATTCCTACAATTTCAGATCTTACTATAAGATTTATAGAATAATAGAATAGTTCCAAAAAATTGACCACCTCTATACCATGGAACAGCCAAAATTTCTCAACTCAAATTCCTACAATTTCAGGTCTTGGTATAAGATTCCTAAAATGACAGAATGGTGTGATAAATCTTCCAAAAAATTAGTCATCTCTCTTTCACTAGGGGACCAAAATTTCTCCATCCAAATTCCCACAATTTCAGGACTTGCTATAAGATTTCTAAAATGACAGAATAGTAAGATAAATGTCCCAAAAATTAACCACCTCTCTACCACAAAAGGGCCAAAATTTTCCCAACTCAAATACCCGCGATGAAATGACGGATTTGGCAAAATGTATAATATCAACGGACCAACCCGACGTCTTCACTTGGCCAAAATGGGCACGCTCTCGCCGTTTAATAATCGTGGAACAATGATTTTTTGCCAAGGCGAGCCCGATCGCATCTTGATGAGGCGTTTGAAAAGGAAAGGGTGAGGCCCGGAGAAGAAAAGTGGCGGAGACGAGACGCGAGCAAAACGAGGATATAACCGTGCATAAACAATGCGAGACACAGTCGACTCTTAATTAGTAGCGTGTCTCGAATCCCAACGGGCATCGCCCAATCTGCCTGGAACGAATCCGTGGGTCGGATGATAAAACGCGCAGGATGCGTGGCTGCTTTTCGATTACATCGGCCAGCCTCCTCTTCGTTGCTTTTTAATTACACGCTACTTATTCGGTGTTCCATTCTTTTTTCTCCCCTGCACGCGTTCTGTACACCGACGTGCGAGCAAATAACTCCGATATGTCGACTGCTGTCGATTCTGATCGCCAGCTGCACTTTGTAACTTCCGTTCCTTGCTTTCGTCCTTGTCGCGTGTCTTATCGAGGTAAGATGAATGGATGGGGTAAAGTTTGGGATTTGGGAGATGCACGATTTGGAAATTAGAATACTCGAAAGTTGGAAGATTTGCAGATTTAGGGAATGGAAAATTTGAAAAGTTAAATGGAAAAATGAGTGGGTTTGAAGATTCAATTGTGTAAATGTTTTTCCGGTACCTTTATTATTTAATCTAGGTTTTGTCTAGGATCTAAACTCGCGTTTTGTACGTAATTTAGCGAATAATAGTTTAGAATAGTTGTAATTAAAAATTTGTATATTTTTGTATTAGAAAGGGAAATTTGTAATAAGAATAATGAGAAAAATTAATAAATTATAGGTTATTACAGCATTTATAGGAATTTCCAGTTAGTATTACTGTTGTATTAAATTATTATAGTAGATTAATTTGATTGTTAATAAATTAGTAGTAGAAAATTAACTATTAATGATTTCGGCAAGGATCGTAAGTTTCCGTAGGATCTTCGGCTTGCAGAGGCCGCTGGCTATATAAAGGTCGCGCGAGCGGTGCTCGAGCTCATTTGTCACTTCGACTTCGGACCGAGCACATCGAAATTTTAGCTAAAATTGATCCCAGATAATAGGAATGGATTCGGCTAGTGGTAATCGGCTATCTAATAATCATTATTCACTCCACCTACTCTCCACTAATATACATTATTTAAAATAAAATTTGTCAATAAGATTTACAATTATTTAATAACATTCAAATAATTTTAAATATTATAATAGTTAAATAAGTTTCTATTATTTATTTATTGCTTACGATGTGTATAGATTATATCTATTCTAGATTAAAGAATTATCTAGATTATATATGATAATCCTGAAAAGACTTTTGTAATATACCCATTATTCAGAAATATTTCCTAAGTCGAAGGTATTAAATCCTATTAATTTTTTAAAATCAAACTAACATTGTTCTTCAAATAAAAAATTACTGTATCAAAAAATGGTACTTTCCACAAGAAATTTAAAACCATTCAATAAAAGATAAGCCTAATAAAACAATTATTTCCCCAATAAAAATTCCTACAAATTAAAAGCAAAGACTCAACTATTTCCACAGATTGCTCTCTTCAATACCAACTAGTTCATCTATCAAACACCAGGATCGTCCATTCCAAACAATGCCCCCTAAATCCATTCAGCTAATCGACTAAGAAGACTCAAACTAATCCTCGCCTCTTAACATCAGCTGCCAGAGACAGGCAAACTGCAGCCTGCTAACAAACAGCTCCATAATGAATCATAACCCGGGACAAAACTCGACAGGCTTGGTCAAAGAAGCAAACGAGAATAACCCCTGCCGTCGATCCAAGAAAATCTTCGTCCGAGCGATTAACCAAGGAGTCGTCTCGATCTGAAACGAACTTTATTAGATGAAACGAACAGGGGCCTGATGCGTTCAATTGGAATAATTCCCGGACGTCAGTCTGATGTGTTACTCCGCTTCTGTTCCTTAGACCACATCCACCACTGGAACACAGCCACCATTGCGACAGACCCGCGCACGTAGGATCCCTCGTCGCGTAATTGATTGATTAAACGCGTGTACACGCGTTTCAACCATGGTGCAGCGTGATTTGCCTGGTAATCGCGAGGCTTTTTTTTCCACCGCCGCGTTTCGAAATGGCTCCCTCTGATAGGCCATGGACGTCGGTGAACGGCGGCTAAGGGGACTTTGAAACAGGTGCTGCGGTTCTAGGCGTCCGCGATTCTGTCGATCGTAATCTCCCGACAATGATACGGTGAAAGCGAAACGAATTAATTGGTCGGCTGCTGGCCGAGTGACGGAGAAGTTATCGAGGGTTCTTTATTATTTTCTTTCCTTTCTTTTGCCCTTTTTCCCAGTGGACGCTGATGCGCCGCAGGCTTCGGAGCTCGTGGCTTGCGTGCTGCAGGTTCGATCGAGAGCTGATTTAGTTAAGGATAAGTACACTCTTTTCGGATTATTAGGAATTATTTATTAGGAAATTTTGTCGATTCGAGTTTCGTTTTTATGTTTTAATCGTGATAGGTGATTGGAAATGGAAATTATGTTTAACCCTTTGCACTCGA